GGAACCCTGGTCTTCTGGAAGATCAGTCAGTGCTCTTAACTGCTGAGCCATCTCTCCATCACCTAAACACCTATTTCTTTGTGCTCATTTGTATCCCAAATGCTAACACACTGATTTTAGTGTGAAACTGTATTATTTCAGACCTGTGAGTGAACGGTTAACACAGAACAACAGTTGGTTAAGCCTGTGGCTCCTGTGTTTGACAGGGTAGTGTTTTCTTGGTGGCTGTTGGCCAGAAACCTTTCATTTAGTCTTTCGAAAATACGCTAGATATTTAAATGTATGCCGGCCCTTCTCACCTCTAATCCCTTAAAGACCCAGAGGCTGCATACCCCTGTTTTCTATAGCTTCCTACTTGTTTTGAAAGGGTTCAAGTCTTTGTTCTGTTTCCCCGAGGTCTTTCCTAGAGTTTTATTTTGCTTGTTGAACTATTATAAAAATGAGTTTTCTACACAGAGAAACCTTGTCTCAAGAAAACAAAAATGAGTTTTAATTTGTCTCCTTCCTGAAAGACTGGACACCAAAACAACAAAAGCAGGACAGTTAGAAAGGCAGGCTTTAGAATTCTTGTTGGTTTTTGAGGAATCTGTTAGGTCAAGGTGACCCTAAAGTGGAAACTTCAGCCGGGTCATTTCTCTCCAATGTGTTTTCCCACTGCTGCCTGGTGAGATGGTCACCGAATGCTCACAGTGTGTTCGTTCCCCTGGAGACACTGTCTTCTGATGGGTTAGCCCCTCCCCTTGACCGTTTCCTTTGCAGTGTGAAAGTAAACAGAGAATTATCAATATCTGTCATGTACTTGGCATGGTACAAGACAATTTCAGATATTACTTTACTTAGAATCTATGGAGCTGGGTGTTGCTGTAGAGAAAGTCTTAGAGGAGAAAGAACATTTAACACTAGGGGCCTAAGTATCTGTGGGAGACAGTAGAATGTAGAAGCAGCTAGGAGAATGAATTTTTTTCCCCTGTAAAGTCATCTGGCTTTCTATTCCTCTTAAAAATTAAGTAGTATTACCAAATCAGATGAGTTCATTGTCTTCCCAGGGTTAAGAACAGAGCTTGAAATTCCCTCTTTAAGTGAGGAATTGTCCAAGAAAACCTGAGGTATAAATTGTCAGCCTCCTGGCCAGGACCATGGCTCCCAGAAGTTGCTGGGTGTTTCATTTGCTTTGTGGGTTTTGGTTTTCCTGGATGTTCTTCCCTTTCCTGTGAACTTCAGGTTTCACTGAAGGCCTATACTTTATCTTTTGCCCGTGGCCACATTCCGCATAGTCTCCTCTTTGGACTAAAGAGCAATATTTGTGTATGTGTGCCCTTGATATCTCAAAGTGACCTTGCCTGTTCTGTTTGCTGACCCTTCATTCTAAAACCTCTTTATTTTCTTTTTTTGGGGTGTTTTTGATTTGGTTTGGTTTTTTGAGACAGAGTTTCTCTCTGTAACAGTCCTGGCTGTCCTGGAACTCACTTTGTAGACCAGGCTGGTCTCAAACTCACAGAGATCCACCTGGCTCTGCCTCCTGAGTGCTGGAGTGCTGGGATTAAAGACGTGCGCCACCACTGCCCGGCACTTCTTTATTTCCTTGAACCTTGGTCTGACTATCTTAATGCTGAACCTGCTGTATTCCAGCTTGCTGCCTTTGAGTGACTTTCATAGATTAACAAAATATTTTTTATACCAAGTTTATTTTTGCTGTACTGTGGAAATAATCTGATCCACCTTTGTAGATGTAACCAACCTTCTTATTAAATAAGAAACACAGCCGGGCGGTGGTGGCGCACGCCTTTAATCCCAGCACTCAGGAGGCAGAGCCAGGCGGATCTCTGTGAGTTCGAGGCCAGCCTGGACTACCAAGTGAGTTCCAGGAAAGGCGCAAAGCTACACAGAGAAACCCTGTCTCAAAAAACCAAAAAAAAAAAAAATTCAAAAAAAAAAATAAGAAATAAGAAACACAGAACCAATGCAAAGAAGAAAGCCAAGAGGTCAGAGCTAAGAGCTAAAACCTTACCCTTCCTCCTGCAGTGGTCCTACCTCTCCGAACCAGAGCTACCCGTGTTAAAGTCTTTATATAGAGTTCCTGTCCTGCCTTCTCATTGGTTGTAAACCCAACCACATGACCGCCTCCTCATGGCCTGTCTGTATAGGCCTCCAGGTTTTCCATGATTGATATTGAGATTAAAGGTATGTGTATCCAATAATGGCTGTATCCCTGAACACACAGAGACTTACCCAGCTCTGCCTACCAAGTGCTGGGATTACAAGAGTACGCCACCACTGCCCTGCTTTCCTATGGCTTGCTAATAGCTCTGACCCCCGGGCAACTTTATTTATTAACATACAAATAACATTTTAATACAAATAAAATATCACCATACACCTTAGACTAGATTCAACTTTTTTTATAAAGAATCTTAAACATAGAACAAGCCTCTCTTATTGTGAGTCAAGGTCCTCTCTAAGGTTTTTGTTAATCAGCTCAGCTAAACTGGGATACTTTGGATTCTCTGGGTTTAACTCACATTCTCCAATCTCAATGCGTTTGCTTCCCCTTGCCCCTCCCCTCCTGATGAGAAGAAGTCTCACTGAGGCACAGCTTCTCCCAGAGTTGTCCTGAGCCCCCTGTAAGCTGTTGTTTCTGCTGCTCTAACGCTCCCTCTCTTGAAGCAGGAATCCCATTCTTTGGGACATATTACAATAAGTCTTCATGCGGAGATTTTTTGGAAGCATAAGGGGAAAACTACATGCTGAGTGTCTTTGGAGGGATCTGATTGGCCAGAGCACAAGAAGATGTCTGGCTTTTCACTGTACATCTTATTTTTTTAACTTTATGCCACATATATACTGAGATCCTATCTATTTATGGGATTTACAGAGGGAAACATGGAGCAGAGTAGACATGGCTCTAGAATCTTAACCCTTCCTCTGAGAGCCTCTTCCAAGCACACTGGCCTCTGTGGGCCTGCCTACTCTACTCTCAGGAGCTGCCCAGAAGAATGTTCAGCATTAATTATGCCCAGGAAATGAACCAATTAGATACAGTCTGCAGAGAAGCAAGAGTCAGTCAGAAGGTCTGTGGGGGCTTACTACTCTGAACAGAAGATGGAAAATGAAATAGTAAAGCAGCTGATTTGCTGGCCAGCTCCCTGAATGACTAGCCACCACTTTGAAATGTTTGCATTCACTTCCCTCCTGTTCGGGACTTTGAGCTGGGTGTGTGGTAGGGATATCAGAAGTGTGTCCTTCAAGGGGATAGGGTCTCGTGTTTGTATTCATCTTCTAGTTTCATAGTTGCTGTCAGACTTCTAGATCCTTTGTCAATGTTTAAAATTAGCAACTTTTAAAAAATTGTTGAGCTGAAACTGTAGCTCAGTGGTAGAGCATATACTAGTACGTATAAGGCCCTGAAATCAATTCTCAGTACTACCAAAGGAACAAATGAAATGGGAAAGTAAATGGGAGTGTCTCAGTGATAGAGTGCCTATCTAACATGGACAAGTCGCTGGTTCAATCCCAAGAAATGACCACGAAAAATTATAAATGTACTTAAATGACAAAACAAAAGAAAATGATGTATTTTCTACCTATCTCTAGGGATGTGCAGCCTGAGGGCGAGGACCTTTTTTATATCTAGTACCTTCCCCCACCAGACTTGATGTCAGCCTGCATAATAGCATTCTGTGTCAGAACTAGTGGGAGGCTGCAAGGGTACAGCTGCAGAATGTGGTCTGTGGGGCTTTCACATGGAAGTGAGCCAGGGCCTTATCGTGATAGTCAGACACTCCTGTGTAACTCCCAGTCACTCTGAGCCTGTTGGAGGAAGTGAGAAAAGGAAACCACCATTCTGACTCCCACACAGATGTCTCTGTGATACAAGGATAGGCTGGCATGTAGTCAGCAAAACTGAATTTCCTTTGGAAAAATCTTTGTTGTATCTTGTGTTTGTAAAACATTTGGAAAGTTGGAGGTCATGAGTGCCTGATCATGCTGCCTTCTCCCAGGCCAGCCTTTCAGTGGCTCCTTAGCGCCCCCACCGGACACCTCAAGTGTGGCTAGACACACCTCCTTTCGCTACCTGGCTTGGGATTCAGTTCTGTAATCTGTCAGAAATAGAAATAGTTTCCCTTCTCCTAAGAGCTGCTCAGACCTTCCAGCTCCTGTGATCCTATGACAGCTTTTCTAAACCACAGTCCCACCACACCCACACCCTGTTCGCCATCTCTTTAGTTGACCAGACTCAGAGAGTGAAAGGAAGTGATCTTGGTACACAAAGCTTTACAAATCAATCGACTCATGGGATAGGGATTGTGTCTCATGGGAAAATGAGCTCAGGGTTAGAATCAGAGGACCTGACTCTGGTCCCAAGTTGACATTCACCCTACCCTAATTTTGGCTAAAAGTTGCCTCACTTTGTGGGATGTAATGTCCACATTGTCAGAGGAAAGAAACGATAACTATCGCACAGAATCCTGAGAGATGAGATGACTTTGAAACTAGATTGTCATGCCTGGAGGAGAAATGTGGAGTTTATGGGACAGAGGCGAGTGAAGCCTGGCAGACGAGAGAAGGTGCACAGGGCTTGGGAAGCCTCCCAGGAAAGCTCTCTGAAATCTTCTCAGGAGCCAAACTCATGCTTTGATTATACCACGGAGTCCTTCCTGACATTGATGTTGTAAACAGCCTAACACTTGCCATAATGAGTTGCCCGAGTTTTATCCCCTCTCAGTCTGACTCACTGTTGGTGGGCGCAGTTAGAATCAGATCCAAATTGAGCAGGTACAGAACTTTTCTGGAGTCTGCTGGCCAGCGGGGAGGAGAGATGCTGTAAGCAGCCAGACTGACTGGTACACTTCAGCCTCTGTCAGTGACAACTTATTTCCATACTAGTTCAACAGGCTTTTCCAAGGATGGTTCTAATGCCCCTCAAATTTCAGGGTCATGCTGCTGAGAGCACATACCCATTGAAAGCCTCATTGTGATGCCATCTCCCTCTGTCTTTGCAGTGTGCCCTCTGCCCCCAGAGCCAGAGAATGGTGGCTACATTTGCCACCCCCGGCCCTGCAAAGACCCCTTGACAGCAGGCAGTGTCATCGAGTACCTGTGTGCAGAAGGCTACATGCTGAAGGGCGACTACAAATACCTGACCTGCAAGGATGGCGAGTGGAAGCCGGCCATGGAGGTCAGCTGTCATCTCAATGAAGGTCAGTCTACAAGTGACACGGGATGCTGCCTGGGGCTGGCTTTTTCCCCAGTCTCTGGGGAATGGCGCATGCTTTCTTGAGAGCTCCCTTGGCTGTGTTAAGCACTTTGGTCTCTCTTTCTTTGGTATTCCATGTCTTTGTGGATATCATTAGGGCTGCTGGTGCATGTCACGTTGCATTCCACTGAACCATTGAGAAGCTCTGTGTCTTTATTGAGGCATCTGCCTGACTATGTAAAATTCCTTTGATGTCAGGATCTCTGTTTGCCTAGTCAGATGCTGACGACCTTAGGCTGTGTTCTGTCTACTAGCATAGTGAACAACGAGCACAGTGCTAACATATTTTCCAGTGTCTCCTCCATTTTATTTTTCCCTTGAATAGAAAGTGACAGTTTTGTTATGAAGTTACAGCCCAGCTGTACAGAATCCTTCTGTTTCTTTTCTGCCTCTTCTTGTCTTGCATGACAGGAAAATGCAGATTCCTAAAAGGAAATGTGTGTTGTGTGGCCTTCTCTCTGCTTCACACCTGGGCTTCAAGACCAGAGCATGCTTAACCCATAACACCTCAGAAGAGGGTGGGAAACAGTACGGGGTTTACAGTGAAGGCTGAGGGCCTTAGAACAGGACCTTATTATTTGCCCACTTCTTAATTATCCTGCTCTATGGGGGGAACATGGTGGAACTCAAGGTGGTAGGAAGATGTGGCCCCTTTAATGATGTTCGCCAGCGTGCTGTTGGTGTTTTAAGAACTCCAGTTAAATGAGTTTAGGTACCCCTTGATCTGGGGGGTGGGGGTGGGGATATCTTATTCAGGGAATACCTAGGCCACCTTATAAGAGTTTCCCGAAAAGGCCCAGCTGTCAAATAAATGTTTCTGTCAAATATTCTATATTCTGTAGGGAATATTTGGCTACATCATCTGTAGAGGCCATGTGTTATGCTTCTGGGTACCAAATATTTGTGATGACTTGTTTCCTTAGACAAAGAAACACACGCGTCACTCGGGGTCCCTGCGCTGTCCATAGTGGCTTCCACTGCCAGCTCTGTAGCACTCATTCTTCTCCTCGTGGTGCTGTTTGTACTGCTGCAGCCAAAGCTGAAGTCTTTCCATCATAGCAGGTGAGCACACTGTTAGTCAAGCATCCCTGTGAGACTGACCTTGGACTGGTTATAGGAAGCTGTTGACCTATAGCCTCTGCTAGTCTGTATCTTAGGGAAGTGGAGAGGAGGGTCCGGCTGTGTGTAAACTCCTGGGTGTGCCTGGCACTGTGCTTGTTGGTTCACATACATTGCTTTGATCCTGATGGGAACATTACAGACAGAGAAACTGAGGCATTCACGTTATATGTCAGGATGATTGCAGAACTGAGATTTGAACCTAAATCTGTCCGGCCTCAAAGCCGTAGCATTTCTGCGTGTCTCTGGAGTGTGGGTCTAGCAGCATTGGCATCACTCCTGAGATACTTTGGAGCTAAGGCACAGTGATCTGATACATGGTTGTATTTGCAAGCTGCCTCTTCCTGCTCCTGGTTTCTAATCCTTAGTGCACCTCGGCTTCCCCCAAATTCTAATTTATTCGGTTTGGAGTGGGATCCTGGCCTTACCATTTTCTAGAAAGCTTCTCAGATAGTTTTAATGTGTAGTGAGAATCCAGGATCATAGTACCATTCTGAAATCAGAAGAAGTGGGTTTTCTTATCTGCAGATTCTCCTTTTTCTCTTATAGCATATTATCTATTAATCATCCTAGACTCAGGAGATGAGGTGGCAAATGGTGGTGCCCCAGTGGGAATGGTCCTGAGGATATCTCTGATAGGGGACTTTTCTCCTGCCCTAACTTGGCCTCTGTAGTTGCTTAACTCTTGAGGGTACCTCATGTCTTTGAAGAATAGATTGTTTAGATTCATTCATAGTCCTGCATTAGTCACTGTCTTAGCTCTCAGGCACGGCAGTCCAGACTAACCACATTCTATAAAATGCTCCACATTTGGAACTTACAGCTACAGACTACCCTCAAGTTAATTTCTGTATAGGAATATGATTTTTCCTTCTTCCTCTTGTTTTGTTTAGAAGAAAGGAGGAGTAACAATTATTTTTGAAGAGTTTTTTTTTAAGATTATGTATTTATTATGTATACAACATTCTGCCTCTATGTATGCCTGCATGCCAAAAGAGGGCGCCAGATCTCATTACAGATGGCTGTGAGCCACCATGTGGTTGCTTGGAATTGAACTCAGGACCTCTGGAAGAGCAGTCAGTGCTCTTAACCTCTGAGCCATCTCTCCAGCCCCCTTAGAGAGGTATTTTGAAGGGAACTATTTATTTATGTTTACTATGTGAGTGGACATGTGCCATACCATGGTGTACATGTGGGGGTCAGAGGACAACATACACTAAATAAATAAATTAATTTTCTTTTGTTTTTTAAGACAAGGTTTCTCTGTGTAGCTCTGGCTGTCCTGGAACTCATTCTGTAGACTAGGCTAACCTAGAACTCACAGGTATTGGCATCCCGCTGCCTCCCAAGTGTTGGGATTAAAGGCATGTACAACCATGCCCAGCAAAAAATATTTTTTTAAGTTTCCTTTTTATTCAGCAATTTCTGGGTACTTTTAGGGATGCTAATTGTCTTCAGTGTGTATGTTATTTGAATTGGGCAATGTAGATTGTGTCTGTCAGGTGCAGGTAAGGAAATCAAGAGTTGTGAGCAATGGTAGTGCCAGTATAAGCTGGCATCTGTACATGCCTTTCATCAAATTCCCCTCAGGTGCCTGCCCTGACGAGATTTCTCCCAGTCCAGGGGGAGACACTACAAGCATCAGGGATACTAATCTGAGGGATATCAAATGAATCTACTTACACAAAACTCCTTAGTCCATACACTTTATTCTTCTGAGTCAAAAATCTATCTGCACAGCTTCAGCCCTGTTCTCTTCTCTGCCCCTTCCTCTCATGTCCTCTCATTGTTCTATCTCCGTTCCTTATTTTCATTCATCTTCTTAGCTCTCTCCTCATCTTAGCTAGTTCTTCTAGTCCTCTCTCAAGTCTCTGAGGCTTTCAGTTATATGCCCATGCAAAGCAGCAATTCTCTGGCCAAAGCAAGGTCACAAGGCTTGAATTCTTACAGGGTCATAAAAGCGGATAAGAGTTTACCTCAGGCAGTGACTGTTAGGCTTTCTTTTACAACCCAAGAGGGGAGTGGTTAAAGGAAGTGGGATCAACTGAGAGCTAAAATCGGTTAATATATCAAAAAAAGGGAATTTGTGTGCTTAAACTACATTCCTAGAAGTGGTTAGGTAAAATGTTAGGAGTCTGTAATGTTAGTATTGATCATGAGTAAAATAAAACTGCCTATATTTCTTTAGGAGCCGTAACTGTTACTGTAAAACTTGGCAAGGGTAACTAGGCAGCCTGTGTCACAGCTTGATGTACCTGGTATGAAAAAAGCCCTTTTGTTTTGAATGTCAAAAGGGAAGTCTAAAGATAACACTAAGGCTGTGTAAGAAATGAGGGTCTGAGTTTAATTTGCAGTGTCTCTGTATGGATATTTACCTTAATTCAGGAGACTAGCAGGTTGTCTGGAATGCTTATTCTGTCTGTCGTTTGTCCTTGGATGTTTGAGAGGTATCTCAGATAAAATGCTTTTTGTTTGGAGCTGGCCCTGGCCTTGGATGCTAGCTAAAGGAGATCTGATTCTAATGCTAAAAAGGAGAAACAAAAAGCCTAGAAGAAGGAAGAAGGAAGCCTTGCCTGTGTGACTATTATCCAAATACCTTAATTGTATATGGAAAAACTATGCCCAAAGAATGATTAATATACTGCAGTAGCACACGAGAAATTCATAGCAGGAAACGGCTAATATTCAAAAGCCAATATCACCAAGACTCCTTAAGACTTGGCTTTATCCTCTGGAAGGCCCTTGACTTTGTCATAGTCAGCTGAATTCCTACTTCATATTTCTACAGCTTGTAGCAGCCTCTCAGTGTGGAAAATGAAAGAACACATCTTCCCTCGCCTGAACACTTAAAAAACTGTCAGGATCTCAAGGCTGGAGAGATGACCCAGCAGTTAAGAGCACTAGCTACCCTTCTAGAAGACCCAAGTTTAATTCCTAGCATCCACATGATGGCTTACAGCCATCTGTAAATCCAGTTCCAGAAGATCTGACACCTTACTCTGGCCTCTGCAGTGTTGCACCCATGTGGTGCACAGACATGCATACAGACAAAACAGCCATACACATTGTAATTTTTAAAAAATGTCAATGTCATAAACTCAGTGGAGACTCTAGATGAATGGAGATGAAAGGGACAGGACAACTAAACATAGAGTGTGAGTGTCTCAGGGTCACTGATGCTGTGACCAACTTCCACAGCCATAACCCTGCACTGAAGGAGGCGCGGGCTGAGATTTAAACAAGGCAGGAACCTAGAGGCAGGAACTGATGCAGAGGCCATGGAGGAGTGCTGCTCCTCATGGCTTGCTTAGCTTGTTTTCCACAATGGGCTGGGCCTTCCTACATTAATTGCTAATTAAGGAAATACTCTGCAGGACTGCCTATAGCCCAGTCTGTGGAAGCATTTCCTCAACTGGGATTCTCTCCTCTCAGATGACTCCAGCACAGTGGTTCTCAATCTGTGGATTGCATCCCCCTTGGGTTCAAGTGACCCTTTCATAGGGGTTGCATATTAGATATTTATATTACAGTTCATAACAGTAACAAAATTACAGTTACGAAGTAATAACGAAATAATTTTATGACTGGAGGTCACCACCATATGAGGAGCTGTATTAAAGGGTCACAGCATTAGGAAGGTTGAGAACCCCTGTTCTAGCCTATGTCAAGTTGACATAAAATTAGCCAGCACAGTATGTTTAATTCTGGATAAAAAGAAAGAACAGAGCAGCAGTGGGTAATTTTACAGACAGTTTGGGAAGTTTGTATATAGTACACTATTGTTAAGTTTTTGGAATGTAACAACACTGTAAGTTATATGGGGAAAGAAGTCCTGAGGCTTATACAAAATTGTGTCTTCACCATCCTTTCAAATGGTTCCAGAGGAGGAGAAAGTGTGTATATAACAAGAGTGATCCCCAGAAAATGTGTGTGTGTAAATAAATCTCACAATGTTCACTAAAATGAAGCCAGAGGGGTTACATGTCTAAACATATAAATTTAAAGCTAAACCAGTGTTGAAGGATTTTGTGTTATAGTCAAACTATTAAATACAAAGTAAGAGTTGGGTGATGGGTGGCAAATGCCTTTAATCCCAGCACTTGGGAGGCAGAGGCAGGCGGATCTCTGAGTTTGAGACCAGCCTGGTCTACAGAGCAAGCTCCAGGACAGCTAGGGCTACACAAACCCCGTCTTAAAAAAACAAAACTAAATAAGTAAATAAAAGGTAAACCAGGCAGGACTGGAGAGATGGCTCAGTGTTTAAGACTGCTCTTCCAGAGGACCTAGATTCAATTCCCAGCACCCACATGGCAGCTCACAACTGTCTGTAACTCTAAGATCTGATACCCTCACACAGACACACATGCAGGTAAAATAAAAGTAAAAAAATTATTTGGTGGGGGGAGTAAGCCAGGCCTAGTATTGTATGCCTGTAATCCCAGCACTTGGGAACCTGAGGTAAAGTAACCCTAAGTTCAGGATTTGTCTGAGCTTAAATAGTAGCAAGACATGTCTCTTTAAAACAAAATCAGCTGGTGTGGTGGTGTATATCCTGTCTCAAAAAAAAAAACAGAGAAGTGGTTTCCATGTAAGTCAGGACACGGTGGTGAGATCCTTGTGGTAGTGAGGCAGTAGGAAGAACTGGTCTGGGCACAGAATGTCTGGGCTGCAGTTCCCGACCTCGGTGGGAGTGTACACCAGTGCCACCTTTGGATCATGCAGGGGCCTGTATGTAAACTTTGCCACATGTTCTTTCCTGCATTTGTGTTGAAATTCACAATTTTATATATAATTTTTTTTTTTAAAGACAAGAGTCTCATGCTGTAGACCACCAGGCCTCAAACTTATATTTTCTGCATCTGCTTCCCAAGTGCTGAGATTAAAGGCACGCACTACCATGCCCAGCAAGATGTATGAGTTTTTTGCCTACATGTATGTCTGTGCATGATATGTGAATACTGGAAAGCAAACCCCAGGTCCTTTGGAAGAGCAGCCAGTGCTCTTAACCATTGAGCCACCCTCTCCAGCCCAAGAACACAAGTCTTTAGAAGTATGTAAAACTGGATTCAGTCCCAAGTCCTTCCCTTACCAGCTCTCTGACTGCTAAGCAGTTACACTACTTCTCTGAGCCAAGCCCACATGCTTGGTGAATCCCTACGTGAAAGGACTCAGGTGAGGGAGGATCCAGTCAGTGTGCTAAAGTGTTTAAAGCATTTCCTACTTGCTGACATATAAGTGTTGGAAAATGATGGATTTTGTTGGAACAATGTTATTGATTCATCTCTGTGTTGCTCAGATTCTTTTGTCTTTTTCTTTTCTGATACAGGCGTGACCAGGGGGTTTCTGGGGACCAAGTCTCCATCATGGTGGATGGGGTCCAGGTTGCACTCCCTTCATACGAGGAAGCTGTATATGGCAGTTCTGGTCACTGCATGCCACCGGCTGACCCCAGAGTACAGATTGTTTTGTCGGAAGGGTCTGCACCTACTGGGAGGAACATGCCAAGGGAGCAGCAGCTGCAGGGCCAGGGGGCCTGCTCCTCTGCAGGTGGAGAGGATGAGGCCCCGGGCCATTCTGGGCTGTGTGAAGCCTGGGGTTCCCAGGGCTCAGAGACTGTGATGGTGCACCAGGCAACCACATCTTCCTGGGTGGCCGGCTCAGGGAGCAGCCAGCTGACACACAAAGACACTGCAGACTCGGAGAACAGTGACATACAAAGCCTTTTGTCCCTCACATCAGAGGAGTACACAGATGGTAAGCCGTCTCTGCTAAACATGGATTACTAGATGTCGGAATCCTTACTGAGAATGAGGAAGCCCTGTGGGCCACTCTGATAATTGGTGTATTTTCACCCTCCCCACCCCCAAAAAAGGGGTAATAGCCAGAGTATTAGCCTACAAAGTAGGATTTGGTCTTCAGAATGCCAGGTAGAGCTTTGGGCTCTCCTAGGGAGACTTCATTGTTAGCTATGAATTTTGATGGCTCTGGAGTCTAATACTATTCACAGCCATAGGCTCTGCTAAACCAACAGGATATAGGGCTATTAAGAAGTTTTGTATTCATAAAAGGCAGAAAATAACAAGGAGAACTTGTGTACTGCTGAGAAAATAGTAGCCTGCATGTCTTGTAGAGAAGACAGCTACTTTGTTTTACACAGGAGTGTATTGCTGGTTTCCTTCTGCTGTCCATCTCAGTTAAGCTTGACCGTGAGTGCTAGGTATTTATGACTGTCCCCATTTTACAGATGGAGAAAATGGGTCCCAGTCTCACTTGTCATTTATCACTGGTCATTGACAGCTGAGATGTAAAACTGAATGACTGGCTCTAAACCAGCATTTTTAACCTTACAGTGCTGTGATGGCTCCCAGGTAACCAGCTCCTTTGTGTCAGACTGGCCATAGAGTGCAATGGTTGTTGCCTACTGACTGTCTGCCTTTGCTGGAGCCTGGAGAGTTGAACTGTAATTCACATCTGTCACTTTAAAGCATATAAGTGAAATCTCAGTGTAGTTCAGGATCCAAACAAAGCCTCGAAGCTCCCAGTTGATAGTAACACTTTCAGTCTTTCTGAAAGATCCCAGAGGAAACTTCACAGATCCTGGTGTCCTGGATAGAGTCTATGTCTAACTTAGAAATGTGTCTGTCGGTAGCCTGCCTTCTTTGCTCTTTGTTGGAGAGAGATGTCGAGGACCCTGTAATAACTGACCCAGTTTGGATGTAGCAGTTAGGCACCCTGGACCCTCAGGCACATGTATTGTGAGATGTGGCTAAGGGCACGCACGTGGCATCCTTTATCCTTCCTCAGGAGCCAAGGAGGTTCCCTGTTCCTTAATGGCTACTTGTTTTTGTTTTTGGTTTGGGGGCCTTTGTGTTATTTTGTTGTTGTTTTCAGAGACGGGGCCTCTCTGCATAGCCTTAGAAACCGTTGTCCTTCTGCCTCAGCCTCCCAAGTCTCTGATCACAGTGGTCTACCATGTGCTGGCTTTTTTTTTTAAAGACAGAGTCTCACTATGTAGGCTTGGCTGGCCTGAAACTCACTGTGTAGACCAGGCTGGCCTCAACCCCACAGAGATTGACCTGCTTCTGCCTCCAATTAAAAATATTCTGCTGGAATTAAAAGTATGTGTCATCACACCTGGTTTGAGCAAACCTCTTTGAAAGCCTCATCTGTGTTTGGTGCCAAATGAGGAAGCATGCTCACTGCTGCATGGAGTATCAGTTGAAAAGACAGTGGGGCCTGCATTGAAGAAATCATGGAACCAATAATTGTAGTGCTAGCCAGATATGGTGCCTCAGGCCTGCAATACTAGCATTTCAGAGACTGAGACAAGAGGACCACAAGTCCAGGTTAGTTTGAAGTGCATAGACCCTATCTCTAAAGTAAATAAGACCAGCAAGATGACTCAGCAGGTAAAGGCACTTGCTACCAAGCCTGATGAGCTGAATTTGATCCCCGGGCTCCACATGGTAGAAGGAGAATTCTGAAAAGTTGTTCTCTGACCTGTAGGTACAGATGCACATCATCACATACTTCCTGCAGTGTACAGATGCACACACACTTTAAAACATAAATAAAGTTTGAAAAATAGAATGATAGCCTGGTGGTGGTGGTGGTGGCGGTGGTGGTGGTGGCGCACGCCTTTAATCCCAGCACTCAGGAGGCAGAGCCAGGCGGATCTCTGTGAGTGAGTTCCAGGACAGCCAGGACTGTTACACAGAGAAACCCTGTCTCAAAAAACAAAACAACAAAAATAGAACAGTGAAATAAAAATTGAAGAACTGATGCCATAATGAGGTATTCAGAAAACAAGATACTTAAGACTGATGTCCTAGGAACTCAGGAGCTTGACACATGGGTCTAACCTTCTCCCCTCTGGTGACATATGAGAAGACCAGAACCCAGAAAAACAAAGTGATTTGTCCAGGTTCACACAGATGGCAGGTGGCTTTAAGGACATACTGGGACTTGGGGAGGACTTTGTGGCTTCTTAGAGCAAGATTAGAGAATTGAATTAACTAGACCAGCAGAAAGAGAGGCAGGGTTGTGTTGGTGAGACCAGAAGGTGTTTGAATGCCAGGCTCAGCATTGGGATTTTATCGTAAGGGAGTGGGAGAGATGAGGCAGAGAGCAAGAAATTCTGACTAGCTTAGATGTATGCAGCAGAACGTTTTATTTCTTTAAATGGGTGGGGGCTGTGTGGGGGTTCCTAAGGTAGAGTTTGGGTGATATTGAGAGACACCCTTAGGTAACTCCAGTCCTTTCCTCCCCATCTTTCTGCAGATATCCCCCTGTTGAAAGAAGCATGAGGACTGCCCATCGTCTCTCCTCTCTGCCCATCCTCTCTCCTCTATGGGTTTGAGTACCATGTCCTCTCCAGTTGCCCCACCTGGATGCCTGAGCTGCCACCTGTGTATCTGTGTGTACCTGAGGGCCTGCAGGCCATCCCGCTGGATACTCAAGGAAGATTGTCACCATCTGCCCACTGAACAGCTGGAGGACCTGGCTCTTTGCCTGGCCCAGCCTTCCCATCTGTCAGGGACATGTCTGAATGTGCTGGATTGAACCCTCCCTTTCCCCCGAGCCACTGGGTCCCTTGCAGCCAGCTCTCTGGTGGCAGCCCCACAGTCATGAGGGCCTGAGCACCGCTGTGTTTACTTGTGCCTTCCCCCACCCTGTCCAGGTTCCCTGTGTGCGGGTGGGTTGCTGTCCACAGGCCTTAGTGGCTGTCGCTACCTGTACACAGGGACTGGACCTGGGGCTGCAGAGACAGATTGAACAGTCAGGCCCTCAAAGCAGGAGTGACTCTTATTGGGGCCAGAGTGTGGGCCCCTGAACTTGCCCTGTGTGTTGACACTGATGGCATCTTCCTTGACTGAGGATAGAAGGTTTGGGAAGTTGTGCCAAACCTGCCCGGCACTCAGCTGTTCAGCTCGGGTACAGGTTCCTGACTCTTTGGAGTTTCCAAGAAGCACCCAGAAGACCTATGGGAAGGAAGAAGGTTGTCAGATAACGATTGTCTTCCTAATATGCAAGTTCTCACTTCCTGCTTCCAGCGTTGGCCGCCTTGGCCTGGGTTTCTGTTCCTGGATAAGGGGAAGTTGCATGCTGTCTCCTGGACTTCGTCCTAGGTAGCTCTGGCTTCCTTGCATCCCACAGAACCCCAAGATTTGCTGAGATGCCAACAAAAGCTCATCTGGGTTTTGGCAGTCTGGGCAGCTTGCCCATTTCTAGGTTTGTGGTGATGGAGGAGAGGTTAAGAGGTACAGGCCAAGTCCCCCGTGGCTGCGGGCAGCTCCGGCCAGGTCCCGAGGATCCTCCTCACCACAGTCATGTGCCTTAGTAACTATGCCCAGGAAGTGGCCCGCTGTGCCGCTGCTTCTTCTTCTCCTACTCTGCTCTCTTCTCCACGCTCTTCCACATAGCATTGCTGACAAGCCACTCTTTATCTGTCCTGCAGGCCTGAGAAATGATTCCCAGCACCCCTGGCTTTACCAGCTATCGTGGGTCAGTGGGTACCCAGAAGCCTGAGAAGTAGGCCTCGGGAGTGGGAAAGTGCTGGCATTGAAGGGGTGGGTGCTCCAGTCATTGTGCTGGGCCTCCTATGGCACTGAATACCTGGGTAGCTGAGCCCCACCAGGTTTCTGCCATCTTCAGAAGACATATGTGGCGTTAGACGCTCGCTCGCTTCCTCTTTCTATCTCTCCTCTCTCCTTCCTCTCTCCTTCCTCTCTCTCTCTCTCTCCCTCCCTCCCTCCCTCCCTCCCTCACCCTTCCTTCCCTCACCCTTCCTTCCCTTTCCTTCCTTCCTTCCTTCCTTCCTTCCTTCCTTCCTTCCTTCCTTCCTTCCTTCCTTCCTTCCTTCCTTCCTTCCTTTCTTTTCCTCAAGCCTCAAGGCTGGGAAACGTCAGAGCCAATCCTGGACTGCACCTATGATGTTTCTCCCTGAGCCTCTCTGGGGTGGTAAAGATAATAAAAAGCCCAGTGTATTTATAGTCCTGACCTAACGGGTTAGTTCCAGGCATCAGTGGCCTCAGATAGGGGAATGCCGTCCCCTAGCCCACCACTGCCCACTGCCTCCACTTACAATGCACTTTAGTCCCTGGCATGCCTGCCTTCCTGCCACCCTCATCTCCTTTCCTCTCAGGGTAAGGGCAGTGCCTGCTGTCCCTGCTGGCCACTCTCACACCCCCACCCAGAAGGCCAGTCTATTGTGCCCAGTGTCCAGTGTGGTTGGCTAGGCCTGGACTGGAGAAGGTGCTAGAACTAGAAAATTGAAACCCAATGGAGACAGTGCACACCTCTTAGCAGTTGCTGTCAGCAGCCACTGTGGCTCTCCTTCACCCTCCGTGGGGCCCACCCTCCTCAAGAGAAACGTGGGGCAGAGGGGTGGGAGTCCTCCGAGTGAGCCTTCCTTTTCTGCTTGCTGCTCTTCTAGAAATCTGAATTCTGCTCTAGGAGTTTTTAAAAGAAAAAATGGAAGATCCTTCCCTTTTCTGTATCTTTACTCTGGGTTTTTGCCTCTTAACAGATTGCACTTTTTTGTTTTGGATTTGTTTAGCTACATGGTAACTGGCTCGGCCCTTGGGTAAAAGAACCTCCCGGTGCCTCCTTCCCTCTCCCCATCCATTAACCTGCTCTCTGGGGATCACAAGCCAGGCCCATCTAACTGGAGGATGAGGCCGTGTTCCCACCCTCCTGTCACTGGTTTCGAGAAAGTCTGTTCTTGGAGTTTCCCATCTACTGCTGCTGGCATCTGCGACTCTTCCTGTGTTGTTCTCTTTCTCCTAAAGCAATTTCCGAACCGTCAGCCATGTGCTGTGGTTTGGGGGGCATCTGGACTTTGTACCTTACAGAGGGACTGGGGGACTGAATTGCCTTGAGGTGGAGCCTGGCTAGAAACAGGGTCAGTGGCAGGTGCCAGGCTGTTGGGCAGGAAGGAACTTGGAGCAAGTGGGAAGAAGCTAGGCAGCCTGCTTTGCTGGGCTCACCTCCAGGGACATCCTGCAGACTTGTCCAAAAGCAGTCGGCACCAAAGGACTTCTACAGAGGTGGTTTTTTTTTAATTTTGTTTTTTGGTTTGGGAGATGTTTTTGCTTTTTCACACTTGTGCTGACTCAATGCAGGTTTTATATCCTGGTGACTTGCTGTCACAGTCTGTCAATTTCCAAGGGCCAGAATGGTGAAATAAATAAATAAATAGAAAATTCCGTCCCTCCATGCCTTAGTTTAACAGGTAGGCTCTGTCTGCCCAGGTCTATATTTTGTGTGACATTTCCATATTCCTGTTTCACTGGGTGAGAACTGTGAAATGGGCCGAGTCCTGGCCACTTGGTGGGTTTGTTTGCTTTTATAAGGCATTTCAGTGTACATTTGACAAGCACTCCATTTGCAAAGAGAACTTAAAGTAACACCGTCTTCCCTGTTCGTCTTTGCCCTCCTCCCTCTACCCCCAGCTTTACAGTCTGTAGAGAAGCCAGGCTACAAGACAAAGGTATACTTTTCCTGCTTTGTAAAGTGGCCGAATGGGGACAGGTGGCAGTTGGCCTTTTCCCTCCCAATCCCATCAGAGCTCTTGAAACACTTGGCTTCCTACATAACAATGTCTCCTCTGTTCCTGAGGAACATTCTAGAATAGAAAATGGAATATGCTGCAAACATTTCTAGATCCTTGCTCCCTCCCTCCTCCTTACAGAGCAAAGAGGGGCTAGAAGGGACACATAGCACGTCTACTGCACAGCTTAGTTCCAAGTATGTTTGCGCCTGACTGTGGCTGGAGCCTCCTCGTGGGGCCTGCTGGGTCTTCTGCGCCCTAGAGAATGATTTTCTTGGCAGATATTAGGCTGAGTGACGTGGTTGCTGGTTCCCTGGAAAGCCAAAGTGGCGGGGCCAGTTTTTCTGAGGTGTGACTTAATTTCCAGTTGAAAATGTAGTAGAGTTTTGAACAAAGCCCCTCCCCCACCCCACCCCACGCCCCCCAAAAAGCTCACTGGGTGTGGTGCGGGGATAGAGCACTTAGATTGCCAAGTAGGGAGAGGAAATGGCTGTGGGCTGCATGGCTGTATGCACACTAGCCTGGCTTCTTAAGGTTGTGCACCACTATGGGATCCTTTGCAGAATGGTACTCATGTAATGGTTTAAAACAACACATGCATAATTGATTGTGCAGGATGTCAATCAATCTGGGTTTGCTTTATTTTATTTTATATATATATTTTTTGGTATCCTGTACATTGCAGTGGGTATGAAGATAGTATTTTAATATTTGTACAAAGTTTAATTTAATTTTAATTGTTCTATGTATATAACTGCATTTCTAAATAATAATAAAAATTCTTATGAAGGCAGTTTTGGGAGATGTAGTCCTTTCTAAAAAGTTTTACAGAACTCTAGATGATTGAAAAGAATAGGTATAAGAGGCAAAGCTCTAGCTTAGTGTTAGAGTTCTTATCTGGCATGTGAGAAGCCCTAGGTTCAATCGCCAGTACCACAAAAGGAAGGAGAGAAGAGAGACCAATTGGTAAAGTGTTTTTAAGCATGAGGAACTGAGTTCAGATCCCCAGCACCCACATAAAAAGCTGCGTGTAGTGATGTGATTCTGTAATCCTGAAATGAGGACAGAATCAGCTTGGCCATCCAGTCTAGGTAATTAGTGAGCTCCAGGTTCAGTGAGAGACTATCCCCAAAAAATAATCTGGACAGCAATAGAAGACGACTCTTGATGTCATTCTTTGGCCTCTGTATGTACACACACACACACACATACACAGAGTAGATGTGGGCAAGAGCTCATGAAGAGATGTACTGTGAAGAGGCTTTCTGGCAACAAGGTTAAGGAAACTAGACAGACTCATAAACTACTCATTAAGAATATAGAACCAACAGTTTAGTGACTGACTGGATGAGGGGGCTTTTGGGGGTGCACAGACCACTGCTGGCAGTGCAGAGGAGTGTGGCCCTGGGAGAAGGACCACCAGCTATCATCAGTGGAAGCCCATTGTCTCTTGATCAAGTATCTTTTCTTTCAGGGTGCCAACCACTGTACTTAAGCTGGGATTGAACATTGGAGCTTGATATGGTTGGAGCCAGCATAGAGTGTCAATTGGGCCAGGAGAGTAGACAATGAAAAAGTGTGTTGTGATTGATATAAACCGGAACCTACAAGGAGGTGGGATGGGGTACTCAAAGAAATCCTTCGAACTGAAATACAGCTAAGCTGTGTGAAGGAGCATAGATGTGAGCCTGGACAGGGATGCAGCTCACATTTAGGCACAAAGGGAGCCATGTGCACATGCAGTGTAAGAAGTTATCCCTGAACTTGAGGGGACAGTGACTTGGAACACAAGGAGATATTATGGAGAATGGGGAGCCTCAGCAGCCCACTAGGGATGTTTGCATACCCTACGTGCATAGAAATCACCTTGGTAGGTCTCAGCAAGAACTAAAGTTGAAGGGATTGGGAGATGAGTCTAACTGCATATAGAGAATGGATTTAGAGGTATAAGACACTGCTAAGCTGGGGAGATGACTGTTGGGATAGAGAGAAACTGGCAAATTTATGAAGGCACTTGTTAACACGAAGAACACAAAACCAATGTTGACTACATGTGGGGGAAAATAGACATCTCAAGGGTGCACAGACCTGCTGGCGGTGCAGAAGCAAGCTAGAGGGAAATAAGAACTGCAGGAAGACCAGGAGCATGTTGTAGACCTTTAATACTGCCTTTCAGAGGCAGAGGCAAGATTGGGGGTTGAAGGCCAGCCAGGGCTATGCAGTGAGACCCTGCCATTTAAAAAAACAAAACAAAGCAAGGGCTATGTGACTCAGTGGAACAGCACTTGCTTGCCTGGCATCCTTAAAGCCCCAGAAGTTTGAGCCCTAGCACCACAAGGAAAAATTGTAGTTTAGGGAAGAAGGCAGTGAGGTCTGAATTATACAAGGAGCTGGGAGTGGTGGTGCACACAGATCTCTGAGTTTGAGGCCATCCTGGCCTACATAGCAAATCTCAGGCCAGCCAGGGATATATAGTGACACGTAGGTAGGTAGGTAGGTAGGTAGGTAGGTAGGTAGGTAGATAAGTGGATGGATGGATGGATGGATGGATGGATGGATGGATGGATGGATGGATGGATGGATGGATGGATGGATAGATAGATAGATAGATAGATAGATAGATAGATAGATAGATAGATAGATAGATAGATAGATAGAGGGGTCCATTCCTGGGGTTCATTCCTGTTACCCAAGAAGCTATAGAAGTGATAATGGTCAGGTCACTCAGCAGGCACAAGAGAGAAAGAAAGGAACTTAGGTGTGGTGGAGAAGTAATTGGGAGAGTCAAACAAAAGACAGCAACCAGGTATCTGTGGAGTGTATTCTTGGCTCAGTCTACACTCAGTCCTCTAGTCCCCAGCAACTTGCTGGGGTTGAGGCAGAAATAGGGAAGTGGCAGTAGTAGCAGGCTGGTCCACCTGATGAAGTGGGCTCAAAGTTGTAACTGCTGGATACTGGTTTACAGCTGGCTTGGGCTACATAGCAAGTGCCTATCTCAAACAACGAAACCCATAAGAGGGATGGTGATCGGCCCATCAAGCGCACAGTCTTGAGGTCTGTCCCCGCACTGCAATAATGATGAATAACAAAACTGAGAAGTGCTTTATCATAAGGTCACAGTGCTATGAAGCGATGGATTAGAACATGACTATCTTCCAGCCCACGTTCTTGATCTATGCCTCAGAGAACTCAGCCCATAACCCCAGGGTGCCTCGTGATGCAAGAATGGAAAACCACTCAAAACTAGCTCTACCAAGACAGCTTGAAGGTGGTTATCCCTCACCCCCTGGAACTCACTTCAGTGTTAAAAAACAAGCCAGACCCCCGCAGTGGTCATTCGCTCCCCAGCTCTGCAGATGAGGGTACCGATGTATCCAGCTATGTGCTGACCGGCCAACTGGCCGAGCAGGGATGGAGTTGAGCACTGCTGTGTGTCTCAGTCCCACCACCCTCAGCAAGTCTACACTTCTCATTGCTGCTTGGCTTTTTTTTTTTTTTTTGTGAAAGAAAAAGTTTTAGACACTATATTTTGGTCATGTTTTTCCCTTCCCCAGTTCCTCCCAGATCCTCTCACTTCCCTACTCACTCAACTTTAAGTTCTCTCTCTTTCAAAAAAGAAAAAAAAAAAAATCCAGCACACCCATAAAACCACAAAAACAAACATCAAAATAAGCTAAAGACCAATAAGACAAAAACAAAAAAAGCCCAAACAAAGCAAAATAGACCAAAAAGTCTACAAAAACACCATTGAGTTCATTTTATGTTGGCTAACTCCTCCTGAAAATGGGCCTGTCCTGAGGTGTGTGATTAATATACCCAGGGAGACTTCTCTAGAAAAAACGGATTTTTTCCTTTGCCAGCAGGTTTTAATTGTAGATAGCTTCTTGATCAGGGGTGGGAGCCCATGTCTACTTCTCCCCCTTATTGCTGGGACCCTCTCTGGCTTGAACCTGTGCCTGTCACCAAGGACTCCGTGAATTCATGCATCAGTCCTGTTGTGTCTGGAAGATGCTGTTTCCTTGGAGCCGTCCATCACCTTTGGCCCCTCCGATCTTTCTGCCTCCTCTTCCACATGGGTCCCTGACTCCTGTGGAGGGTGGGGTGGGGTGGGGTGGGGTGGGGGGTTGGTGAAGACATCCTATTTAGGAGTGAGTGCTCCTAAGGAGCACTTGCTTCACGTTGTTTAGTTGTGGGTGTCTGTGTTAGTTCCCGTCTGCTGCAAGAAGCAGCTTCTCTGTGTAGCTTGAGTTTTCCTGCCTGGCCCACAGTCAGGGCAAATCTCTCTCACCCGCCAGTCCCAAGCCGCTCAAACCCGATCAAGTAAACACAGAGACTTATATTGGTTTCCAACTGTATGGCCGTGGCAGGCTTCTTGCTAACTGTTCTTACAGCTTAAATTAATCCATTTCTATTCATCTATACCTTGCCACGTGGCTTGTGGCTTACCGGTACTTTACATCTTCCTTATCCTGATGGCGGCTGCAGTGTCTCCTCTCCCAGCTTCCTGTTCTCTCAATTTTCCTCTCTGTTAGTCCCGCCTATACTTCCTGCCTGGCCACTGCCAATCAGTGATTTATTCATTGACCAATCAGCAACACATTTGACATACAGACCATCCCACAGCATCTCTGATGAGAGCTGATGGAAGGCACTGACTGATCTATGGGTCTGGCAGTCATTAGGAGGCACTTTTCTGCCACGTTCCTTCAGCAGAATCGTGGTTTTAGGTTTTCCCCAGGCCGGTGGCTTATTTAGTCTCAGGGTCTTGGCCACCTTATCAGTGTCAGGTATGGGTTCTATCTCATGGACTGGGCCTTAAGGCTAACCAGAAAGTGGTTGTTCACTCCTCTAACATCTGTACCACTCTTGCACCAGTATGTCTTACAGGCAGGCCGTTGTAGTAGGTTGCAGGGATCGTAGCTGGGAGATACTGATGGTTACTTTTCCCTCTGGTAGCATGCAGAACACCTTCTAGTACCTTGAATGCTAGTCAATAGGGGTGATGGTTCTAATCAGACCCCAGCTCAACTTCCCTGTGTTTGATGATATATGTAAGTTTGGTCTTCAGCAATAGGACCTTCAGGTTGTGGAGAGTAACCAATAGCCTTGATTGCTTGGCTTTTTTTTTTTTTTTTCAAGACAGGGTTTCTCTGTGTAGTCCTGGCTGTCCTAGAACTCACTTTGTAGACCAGGCTGGCCTTGAACTCTGAGTGTTGGATTAAAGGCATGCACCACCGCTGCCCGCCGATCTGCTTGGCTTTTGAGCGAGGCCTTCATCTCCTCTCCAGCTCATCTTCGCTCTGTCTGCAGGGCACCCTCTGCCGCTGCTTGCTTCAGGTAAGTCAGAGCTACCTCAGGCAAGTTCAAGGGAAGTTACTCAGCAAAGAATCAGTTTGACTTGAGGGAGGCTCATCGCTCCCTCCTTGGCTTCCTCAGATAAGGCCTAGGGAAGAGGTACAGAGAAAGAGCCCAGCATGGATAGGGAACATGTCTCAGAGTCCTAAACCTAGGCAATGCCTTCTTCATTTAAAATTCTGCCTCTCCTCTTCCAGATTAGAACTCAGCACCGAAGCTTTGGCTGATCTTCAGCCTGGACTAGAGCATTGGTGCTGAGACAGGAGGAAGCTCCTGCCCTTTGTCCTGTGGCCCGGAAGTGGCAGGTTCTACTGCTTTAGGATGATAGGAGAGGAGGGAGCTGAGACTCGCCTCTTCTGCTCTGACTGGAGGATACTGGGGAACCCCTGCTCAGATTGCCAAGGCCCAGCTGGAAGGAGAGACTCTCTTTGCTCCCAA